TTCAAACTATCTATGACAAACTTCCACATCAGATACACCTTGCACAGTAGGTCTGGTATGCAAGCTCTACAAAACAAAACAGATCACATTCATATGCTGCCTAGTTGGACTGTTCTGCTTAACACAGGAAGAAAACAAAACTATATTAAGTCAGAAGTAACCTCTCTCTCTCCAAAAAAGAAAAAGCATCCTTTAAAACAAAACAGTGTCTCAGAGGACAGGGCACAGCACCCACAAAAAACAAACATGAAACGACAACCCAGGAAAAAAACCCCTATTACAAAATCCTGTGTGCTGATGAACACAACAGAACAACCAACTGAGAGTCAGACTCCAAAGCAGTATCACAGTACTCAGTGTGTTACTATGATCTTACTTCAAGCAAGGAATTCTGTGAGTATCAGAGAGATGTCAAAAAACACCCAAAACCAAAACCAAGCAAAAACTCACCCAACCCTCCAGTACTACCAACAGACAGGAACTACAGAGAAGCAGACGTTCCTTGTAAGATTCATGTTTGTACAATTTCAAAAGATGTTAACTCTATATGGACTAGGAAATAAATTGCTGGTACAGTAAAAAGATACCACAGGAAACAGACAAGTTCTCATTTTATGCAGAAAGCCTAGTTTTGCCACGAAACATCTTTGTGGTTACTTTCTTCTCTTGATTACATATTAAAGAAAATCCCAAAACTCTTACCTTTTAGCAGCAAATCACAGGAGTTTCCAGTATTATTTGACATTCCAGATTCTTGTATGTGCCTGTTTTGAGCAAAAAATGTATTTAAGATTTCCATCTAGCACAAAACCAAAATTAATCTACCAGTTACATCTAGTTCTCAGTAATACTGTTAGCTATGAACAGAATCCTTATATATACAACACAGTGTTCTTAGACTGTTCTTAGCCTTCTCATGTCCATCCTTACAGGTCTAAGTAAATATACCCAAACACATTAAGCAAACCCAAGACATTTCAAATCTCAAAATTTTCAGTAAATTCTCACTCTATTATTTATTCTCTACTTAAAATACTGAGAAATTTTCTCTGTGTGACAAATTATGGAAATACTGTGCTAATGAGCCAATTTATCAGTTTCTACAAAATGTGATTTGTAGTAATTTTATATTCAAGACCATTTGCATAACAATGAATCTCAGAGTAATCAAAACATTTGTTCATAGAAAGATACTTCACCTATTTCCAAGACAAATTGGTAAAAAGCAACTTTTTCTCCTTCGAAAAACTCACATGGGACAAATAAATAGTAAAATATAAACAGAATAAATAAAACATCATCATCATCACCACAGAGTTTTGGAAGCTGGTACCTGGTGAATGACACCAAGTATAATGACAGCAAGCTACAAAGGCATCCACTGAACCTACTAGTTCTGTGGGGTGAGATGACATACAGGATGCCTCTTAGATGTGTAGATTCCACACATGAGAGGAAATAAATACATCAGATGATTGATTCAAAAACCTCCACTGTTGGAATTCACTTAGGGGTAAGTAGGCAATTGAAAGAGGCAAACAAGTACATGTGAAAACTGAGTTTCATTGTCCCATTCAGGCTGCAGGCCACAATCTTTTCCTGACGACTGGCAACTTCCTAATGCCTGGAAGTGACCAGCTCTCACCCTTCTTGTAAAATGCAACCACTAGAGGAATAACCAGTCCTACTATCCTAAAGGTCAGAGCATGCTAACTGAATCAAACCATACAAGAGATATACACACAGAGCCTCTTCTGAATCTTCCTGAATAAAGAGACAAGACCTGTTTGTTCTACTTACACCTACTTGTTCAGAGACACCTGTTCTGGGTACGTGCACAAACACAATTACAGGACTTCAGAAATTTTAAGTCAGAGCTGTGTAGCAATGTCATGTGCTTCACTGATTGTTGGGCTCTTTGTTAGCTTGCTTAAAAATAAAACAGAACAAACCCAAAATCAATCCAAGCCAGAACAAGCCCTATTTGAATTTGGGACCTCAGTCACTGTTGTGGCCTGTATGCTCTGCTTTTGAAGGAAAAGTGCTGTCATTATCTGAAAGCTAAAAATTATTACCCTTGAATTTTCATAACTAAATACACCCCTCTAGTTTTTAAGGTCACAAACAATCAAAAATGAAAAGTGCCATTGGCTAAACATGTTTTGGTGTTTACAGTCAAAGCCCAAGTGAAATGGATCCACTCTAACAGTAACACATCCACAGTGGCTAATAGTTGTCACTGAACACTTGTCAATTACACAGTTTGAGTGCTTTGGTTTCTCCATTAACCTTGAGTAACAAGTATTGCTTCATTCTAGCAATTGGCATTCTGACAAGCTGCTGGATGTCAGATTTTTGCTGTTGGAAGAACACTGCAAATTACGACACAGGTTGTTTCCTTCACAGTCACAATTTAAATGCTATTAAACTGATAAGTTAACACTCAACACGTTTTAAAAAACTTTTTAACAACTCAGCTATACTTTCAAAGTGAGTTGCTGCTAGCAGAAATACAGTTCGTGTTGGTCTATACCAATGCCAGACTAAAACATCAGCACATAAGTACTAAAACATCAGTAACATACTGAGGTCCATCCCCATGCATACGTGTACTAAATAGCTTTAGCAAAGATCCAGATTCTTTCTGCCATCATTTGCTCTTAAAAACCTGCAGGGAAATCCTAACAAAGCTATGTATTGATACAGCTAAAGAAAACACTCAGCAACAATCATCATTTATAGCTTCTATATGAAAGTGCTTGCATTAATCTTCCACCTAAAATCACCTAGATTATATTTATTTAGAGACTAACAGCTAAAAACTAAATGCTGAATAAAACATGCATATGAACTAATATTTATACAAGTCAGTATAGTTCTGGCTCACTCTTCTACATGGACAGACTGAAGTGGTGTTACAAACTAATATTGCAATGATGCAAAACTGGGGAGGCATAAAAGAAGCCAAACAAGAATAGTTTAGAATAGATCTAAAGCAAAAAAAAAAAGGCATGAACAGAAACATTATTTTATCTTAAGATAAGCAGCACGATGTGAGTGTAACTAATAGTATAATAATGTTTTTTTATGGTTGGCCAAACAAAGTTGAAGTCTCAGCTGCATTCATTAAGTGTCAACAAAATAAAAAAAAACCCAGTATGAACTGGCCATGATCTGGTATGATCCAGTGATATCACAAGCTACCTGACAAAACTGTGGTAAGGTCTATTGCCTTATTTTAGTAGTCTCATATTCAGCTCATTAATATGTTCCTGACTGTTTACCAACTATGATTAGTAACCATCTAACTATCTTTGCATCAAACTACAGAAGGCACAGAGAAAAATAAGACCATTTTGCCTGCTTCTTTAGTAAATTAAAGGGAAATTCTAAGAAACAAGAACTATGTATTTTTTTTCCTTGGCAAATGGGAAACAATTTCAGCAGATATCAGGAAGAAAGTAGATGAAAAATGAACAAGTTCCTATTTCCACCTAGTGATCTCTGATGTTACTCTAAGTCAGCATAACTACTAATTAAAGGGAGTATTTGTCCTCCCCTACTAAGTACTTACAAGATCCAGTAACTTTTCAGTCCCTATTTACAGAAATACCAAACTTTATTACCATAACCAACACATGAGTGTAAAGGGCTCAGAAGTTTTGGTCTTCCACTCTGTGCAACAGCTGTCTGGACAGTCAGCTGGAAATCACCTCTGAACAGCCACTATTACCCTCGGGTAATACACAGCAAATACTCATTGTATTACACAGTGTATATGAGATACCATACACACTGTACCCAAAATGAATACTCACTCTAACAGATTTACTATGATACAGCCTAGCTGCTTCTCCAGAAGCTGGATGTTCCTACTACAGACCTGCCCTGTTCTTCAGAGGCTTGTTTTAGCTGAAACTTTATGCTATTAACATCTGAAAGTTTTATATTCTCATGCCCAAAAAACCATTCAGCACCTCAAATAAGATTCCTTTCCTCTTTTGCATGTGGGTTTAATGAAAAGGAAAGGATGAGAAGAGAATGAAAAAAAAATAAATCAACAAATGCAGTTATAAGGTGGCACAATAAATAAAACTATTTAAAATATGAATAACAAAGCCATACAGAAAGAGCACACGACGACAATTAAAACACCCATCCCAATTATAAAAACTAATCTTCAGAGGAAAACCTTTTATTATTTCTATCTAAGCTTTATGTTTTTCTCTGTAAGATGATAAATTTAATCTTAAAACTTTCACCAAACACAAGCATCAAAGTTAAGAGAGGAAACAACTAGGAGTTAATCTATTCCCTGAAGAACTACTACCTCGTTTACTAAAGTTTGTTTCTACTTTAAAATTCTCTTCCACCTTCAGTGATTTTTATTATCATCTTAAAACCCAGAAAACCTTTAATACCTGACGATTTACACCAGGAACTTGCTGCATGAAGATGCATGATCATAAACATCTGTATGTTAGCCAAATCACACATCTGAAAACTATTCACACATCTGGGGATAGGAGAAAAACAGGGAAGAAGAATGGCAGAATGGAATATTACTATAGATAAAACCATTTACTCTTGCAGATCCTGCAAAAGAATAAGCTACACTTAGAAAGTAAAAACATTTCTAAGCATTATACCACTTTACAACCAGGAAACCTGGCCTCAAAGGGATACATGCTATCTCAATCAGGTCAGATTGTGACTCTTAATTATCTGTGTTTATACTTCATATTTTACTTCACTTGGTCTAAACCAGTGCTTTAGGAGTACATTTTCCTTTGATTCAGAGTTTATCCCAGCTCTTACGAAGAACAAATTAATCCATCTGCATTCAGAAAACTGTCATAATTCAATTAAATTTTGACACTTAAAATCAACCCAGGAATTAGTGAAATTCTGTAAGGAAGCCTGACCAGTACAACCAAAGTATACTGGCATGAGGAAAAGGTACTTAGGATTATTGTAGCAAAAAAGAATGATATGCATACCTAAAACCATTATCTCCTGAATAACTCTCTTCTGAGGTAACAGGACACTCAGGTGTAATATCCCGCTCTGTGCCTTTAATGCTGTTGGAGGCCTTCACAGGACATTTTTTGCAGCGTGCAAGTGCAAGCTCCCCTTCATCACTGGTTCCAAAAAGGTCAGGGTCATCCTGAATCACATCAATGACAAGAACATCTTGTTTGTAAGCTTCAAGAATATCAGGTAAATTCTGACTTTTCTGTTGTGAAAGACTCCCTCTTGATTTGCTATCATCATTTATTTCTAATTCAACAAGGTGGTCGACTGAGTTCCAAGAACGATCAGGGAAATTAGACTTTGGCACACATTCAGTACCACAGCAATCAGGCACAGATGACTTTGGTGGTCCATCAAGAAGAGGAGAGGGACAGGAAGAAAAAAATGGTGGTCCATCAAGAAGAGGAGAGGGATAGGAAGAAAAACTTCCAGGAAACACAAACATCTCATTTGAAAGGTTGTCAGAGCCATTATGCTGTAAGTCCTTAACATCAATCTCATCTGCTCTTTTCTTTATGGAAGCTTCACCCATGACAGGAAGAGGTTGCTGCTCAGAATTTACCAAAGTAGTCTCTACACCTGTCTTCTGCCTTCTTGAAACATCAGTGCTCTCAAGAAGCTCTAGTGGGCTACAGGCTTTTCTTTTAAATGAATGGGCAGATTCCATTTTCCTGGACTCAGTTTTGTTTCTGCATAAAGGAATTTTGAATTTTGTCAGGTTTCCAGGGTTTAATACTTTCATTGGCTTTAAATCAGAAAATGTCTGCTTCACTACTGATACTTTTGGACTGAAATCTATTCTGTTTGTGTCACCTGTAGATGTAGCACTCTGGACTGCCACAGACAGGTTTCTTTTTCTTACATCTCCTTCATTTTTATCCTCTTGTTTTGCTGAACCATTCTCGACTGTCACAGGCAAGTTTCTTCTTGCTACATCTCCTTCACTTTTATCTTTCTGTTTTGCTATAGCTTCCAGAACATGGTTAAAAGTCACAGCACTCGTATCTGTATTAACTGGTGGTTCCCCATTTCCATTGCTCATTCTCAAAGCCTCATAAATAACCACAGAAGAGCACTCTGGTGTTTCGAGTGAAGTCTGACATTCAATATTTGAATTCACTTTTTCAGGTGTAGATTCTTTTGTAATTTCTGATGATGACATATGCAAATCCAACTGCCTCAGATTCTCAGTCACAGCACTATTTCCTACAACTTTTAGACTGCTTATATCAGAGGAATTATCAAAGGCAGCCTTTAAAAGTCTTTTTCCTTCTGACATGGATCCATGATTTTTATGAACCCATTCAGAAGCCCTGGCACAAGATTCAAGAGGCCAAACTCTTTTGCCAGCCATGGGCACTGCTCTTTGACAGGTAAACTGCCACGATTTCCGACTAACGTTGTTCAATGTTCTCCCTGGCTTGCTTTTGTTACAGGCAGAAATATCATGGACCTGAGCTAGCACCCTCAGGCTATCTGAGGCAGCCAAATGATGTGCCACACTGCTTGAACCTTCTCCTTCTGCTATTACAGAGACCTCAGAACTCTTCTTTGAGCCATTTTCAAATGCAAGTAATTTGGTACTATTCTTTCTCCAGGCTGATACATTTTGTGCTTCACAAGTATTTTCTCCTATATGAAGACGTGATGTAAGATCACATACAGCTGAGAGAGTACAGTTTAGTTCTGAAACTGCAAAGGAGCTTGACAAGGCAGTTGCTGCATCTGTTTGTAACTCACTGCATTCATCAGTGCAAGTATTCTGCACTGCTGATTTCTCTGCGATTTTCACCTTTTTTCTAGGCTTCCCATCAGTGTTGCATTTTTTTCCCCTTAAACACTTATTGTTTTCACTCTGACAGCCTGAAAAACAGCCTTCTCTATGTTCAATTTTTTCTTCATTAGACAATAAACCACCTTTTATGGCTGATTTCTCATTCTGCATTCTACTAGTGCTGCAAATTTTATCACTATGCTCTTCAGTACCATCAGGAAAAATATAATTTCTTTTATCCTGGGCTACATGGAAGAATCCATCTAATTTGTAACTGCTGGTAGTTGCACTAGCTGAAGACTTCCCTAATGCATTTATGCAACTACTACAGTCTTCTGATCTCACAAATGGATTCTGTTCTCTTGCACAGAGCAAGCCATTACAGTGGTTTAGGGCATTTCTGCAGTGTTCAGCATCACATTCTGCAGATGTATTCACCACTTTTTCAACTGCAGTCACACTACAACTTTGCAAGTGCTTGATTTGACCAGTTCTGGGTTTCCTTTTTTTATACTGCACACCAGACTTTTTTGTCACAGCACGACATGGAAAGCTCTTGCTTTGAGTCCCACCCAAAGTAGCAACCATAGGAGATTGAGAGTAGTGAGGTTCCTTTTCCTCCGAATCTTCTGATCTGTTTTGCTTTGTCTCAAGCTTCTTCACAGCCTGTGTACCAGAGTCTTGCTCAACTGCTTTCAATTGTTCCTTTGCTGATTAAAAAGCAAAGAAGTGTCATTAAAAAAAACACTAAGAGAAAAAGAGTATCCTACTGCAGTATTATATAGAGAACAAAAAAACCCCAACCCATTCAAGGCTACTAACGAACATGACGCTGTCTAAGGCTAAAAATATTCCTGTTAGGTTTTACCGTTTTTTCTTTATATGAGCACTACTGGCAGACTTACAGAAATGAAACATGTATTACCTTCAGAAACAAATGTGAAGATGAACAGAACCTTAAGGTGTCATAAGGACACTGGAAGTTGTGTATTTGCTGTACGTTCCATAGAGGTGGAAACCAAATTAGAGCAGGTCTGGCAGGAAAACACAGGTGCTATTTGCACACTTCGCCTTTAAACCTTTTGTTTACACAGTAGATTTTCTGCAATAGGAAAGCTTATCCATAAAAACATGTACCAGATACACAGTCAAACCAAATGCATCAGAATTATCAAGAAGATTCTGGAAAACTGCAAGACTTGAATTTTTAAAGACCACTGCTTTTTATTTAAAAGCAAATATAGACTATGTAAAAAACTGTACATCTGAAAATTTAAGACTGGAGAATGGACTCAAGAATCTACTAGCAGAATGTTGTGCTTTTAGATCTTTCTTTTTTAAACTTCAGTTTTCCAGAATATGCTTTCTAGATAAAGCATCTTAGTAATCTACAGTAAGTATTTGCCACTTGAATATACTCGCTTTGAAAGTCAAAATATTGTCTTTTAGACAACTGTCCTGAAAAAAACACTTTCCTTCTTTCAAAATTGTTCCAGTTTAATACAACAGTCTCTTAAAACATCAATATACAATCTTTGTTTCTCCATCTTTTAGGATTTTGCAGAAAATAGCAATTAAAAAGCAAAAAGTTCTGAAAAAAATCCCCAGCATCCTATAAAGGCAGGCACAAAAACAAAGCAGCATGATACATATTCAGGAATAAACAGGTAATATACAGATGAATGAAGAACTGACTATCTTTCCTTTTGGCTTTGCTGAAACTCCTGGCTCTTTTCCTGCTTCTGCCTGACTTTCTCTGCATAACTGGCCAGACTGCTCTTAAGGGAAAAAAACTGCAACACTTCTTACTCAGGGCCTATTGCTGCTGATACCCTTTCCTCCCTCCCTCCTCCCCACCGAAAGGGTAACTGGTCTCCCCTCCTTTGTGTTAAAGACTGCTATTCTCCTTCAAGAAAACCCTTTCCTCTTCCTTTCAAAAACCTGTTTACTTCCAAGACTGGCATTCACAGTGCTGTAAAGCAGACACTAGCTGTTATCCCTACACTTCTTGAACTAAGCTAGCAGCCAGCTCTTAAAGGGGCCTCATGGCAGCACTAGGCCCTTGTCCTGGGAGCCCAAATTCTGCACCTGTGCTTCTACAATGGGGCTCAGCAAGCACTTACCACTTTTCTCCAGGCTGTCTGCTCCTTTCCAAGGGCTTGAGCTCTGCTGCTCTTCTTTCATGCAACACCTGCGTGTCTTTCTTCTGGTTGCTGGTTGTTCTTGCCCACTTAGACCCTGTAGCTGCTGTGACACCACCGCATTTTTGTTCCTCTTTCTTGTACTCACATCTCCTTTGCTGGACTCTGGACACTGTGTATGCACCTCTGGTAAAGCAGAACTACCTCTCTTTCCGGGACTGCATAGCTTTGGTTTCTTCAACGCAGTCCTGCCTTTCTTGCTCAAGCATCTCTTTTCTTCCTCCTGTGTCCCTAGCTTTCTTGATCCACCTAAAGGACACCCATCCAACTTCTCTGGTGTATCAACCTCTTCCTGAGGTTTTGGTTTAGACATGGACTCCTGAGTCCCCAGATTCTTCTCAGGATCTGGGATTTGTGTATTCTCTATCATTACAGAGGCAGTGTATTCCATTTCAATATTACATGTGACCTTTCCAGGCTGCAGCACTTCCAGTTCTGGAGAACAGGGAACACCATGCCTCGCTGCGCTCTCAACTTCCTCCTCCGAGGATGGGATTTGTAATTTTATTTCCACATGGCCTTCTTTGTCTGAGCTCCCCAAACCCTCCTGAGAACCCGAGAGGTTCGGGTCTTCAGAACCAAGTTCTTTCCTTTTAATCCCTGCTGCAAATATATTTTGTGAAGTAGCTCCTGAGCAAACCAGCTGTTGACCCGGCCCCGTCCCTCTCCTTACAGTCTCTTCCCAGCAGCCTGCTGCAGCTCTGGCTGCTGCTCGCCTGTCTTCACACACAGCAGCGCCTGGAACTGGAGGAGCTGCACCCTTTCTCCCTCGGGCAGCTCTCCTGCGCTGCACCCCCTTGGGTTTTCTGCCTGGCAACTTCTGGCTTCTCTCACCTCGCCCCT